TCATTTATGATATCCTTAAATATCTGATACCCTCCCGACAGAAATATTTTATCACTATACCGAAACACGATTTTATCTACGAAATGAAAATCATTTTGAAGCCATTTCTGATCAATCATAAAATGAAGTAGAGTTTCCCTTCCATTTGAAATCTTTTGGATTCGATCATATCTCATCCATACCACTAACAAGGTGTATTAAAGTCCTTATATGGAAAAAGGAAATTACTATTAAATGGCACTCTCAATTGTTACAACTCCTCAAAGTAAATTATAACTGTTTGGTTCAAACTTTCGATAAAATTCTCAACATTTGCAACACGAACGAAACAGAAATATTTTAAAATTAAAAATGATCGCTGCTTGTTTTCAGTCTATTCCAATATCAAAATGTCTAACCAATTCTCATTTCAAACGACTATTTAATGTATTTGTGTCCTCGACAGAAATTTCCAGTCACTGAAAAATATATATACGAGGGGAAAAGAATAATAATTAAAAATTGTTCAAATTGAAGACAGAATTTTATATATTAGAATTTGGAACATCGTGTGGTAAAATGAAGATAAAAGAAAGGAATTCGTTTCTCAGATTTGTGGCCCAAAGGAACATGACCCAACACCCACCTAAAAAAAAAATTCGCAGCCTACATGGGGACTCGAACCCCAGACCCTCAGATCGCTTACGCGTTGCATCCTTAAAAGTCTGATGCTCTACCGACTGAGCTACGCAGGCATATGACACGATAGTCCGTTATACGCTTATACTAAATAAGAAAGAATCAATTGAATTTATTTACTCGATGAAAAACATAAGTGGGTGTTTCTTCTAGATTTTGTATCTTTTGAACTTGACCACAACTCATCTATATCCTTAAAAAGTCAAATTAAATCTCATTTCAAGAGGAAATTACAATTAATTGGCAATCTCAATTTTTACAGCTCGTCAAAGGAAATTATAAATGCACATTTATAACCTTTTCGACAAAATACCCGACATTTACAATACGAATAAAGAAAATAATTTAAAAACATAAAAAATAATCGCTGTAATTTGATTTCATCCTTAGAGGCCATTCTATAAAATAAGGATTTTAATTTTTCTGTGTCTTGGAAAATAATCTAACAAAAAACTCACCGAATTGCAAAGAAAAATAACATTTCTAAATCATGTTGCTTAAAAAACGTGAATCTTTTAACCGTTAAATAAATGTATCAATGAATCTTTTAACCGTTAAATAAATGTAATTATTGTTGCGGGCCAGTGGATGAGTTTTCTAACTTATTGTGGACATTAGTAACGCTGGTGTTAGGGTTGAGAAATAAACACGTGTCTCCTAAAAATACCCACAAACAAACATGGCAGACTCGTAAGAAATAACAAGAACCAACAGCAAATGATAATGTATCTGTCTATATTTCTGAGATGAGGTATTATGTACACTATTTACATTATTCGGACTATTTTGTCACTTCATCTTTTGTCACCATATTCATTTACATTATTCGACTATTGTCCTCATCTTTGTCATAACGTTTTGGCCCTTCAGTATCTGTCTATATTTCTTATTTGGTCTAGATGTGGTATTATGTATCTGTCTATACTATTTACATTATTCGGACCTATTGTCCCTCATCTTTTTGTTGTCATAATTATTACAACGTTTCGGCCTTTCAGTATCTGTTTATTTCTGAGAAGAGGTATTATTTACACTATTTACATTATTTGGTCTATTGTCCTCATCTTTGTCGCCATAATTATTACAACGTTTCGGCCTTTCAGTATCTGTCTATATTTCTGAGATGAGGTATTATGCACACTATTTACATTATTTGGTCTATTGTCCTCATCTTTGTTTTTATTACAACGTTTCTGGCACCTTTCTGCATTTCAGTATCTGTCTATATTTCTGAGATTTCAGTATTATGTCTATATTTCTGAGATGAGTTACATTATTTGGTCTATTGTCCTCATCTTTGTTGCCATTTTATTACAACGTTTCGGTTTCAGTATCTGTCTATATTTCAGATGAGGTTTATTGGTCTATTGTCCTCATCTTTGTTGCCATATTTATTACAACGTTTCGGCCTTTCAGTATCTGTCTATATTTCTGAGATGAGGTATTATGCACACTATTTACATTATTTGGTCTATTGTCCTCATCTTTGTTGCCATATTTATTACAACGTTTCGGCTTTTCAGTATCTGTCTATATTTCTGAGATGAGGTATTATGTACACTATTTACATTATTTGGACTATTGTCCTCATCTTTGTCGCCATATTTATTACAACGTTTCGGCCTTTCAATATCTGTTTATATTTCTGGGAAGAGGTATTATTTACACTATTTACACTATTCGGACTATTGTCTTCATTTTTGTCGCCATGTTTATTACAACGTTTCGGCCGTTGTATGCTCCAGTCTTCTTCAGGTGGTTGAAATGTCGAACTGAACCCTTTATTTCGCTCACTGTTCTAGTTCCACGTGTCATGTGGATGCTGAGAAAAAGGCTTCATTTTTGTTCAATCTATGCATAATTGAACAAAAAATCATTGTTTATTCAACATTACCTCACTTTAAGGACCTAGGCAATGTTTTGGGTTCATGTAAGGTCTTGAGCCAATGAGCACATATAAAAGTTAATCAAATAAAAAGGATAGTAAACATTAAACAATGACCCAATTTATAATCTTTTTCTATAATATTTTATTTCACACGGTAAAAAATAATTCAATTTCTTTGTGGTGATTTGTGTTTAGCGCAAACGTACCTAAAAAGAAAATCTGGGGTTCGAATCCCCATTTAAGCTTCCTTTCTTTTTTTTTTTTCTTTTTTATAAAGGTTGCTGAGATACAGGTCGATTTTTCTTCGACCTAAGGGTCATTAAAAACATTATTTACTCCAGTATACCAAACCGTAAGGGTCTTCATGTTCAATGTTTTGGGCTCATTTAATGTTTTAATCCAAATTTATGGTGAAAATACATTTTTGAAAGCATTTCTAGTTTTCTCTAATTTATGCAGCATTCAATAAAAATGGCTGACTTTTTATTTATTTTTTTGCTTATTTATGTATATTCTCAATCAAAAAAATATTACCTTAAAGAAAGATCTGGAGTTCGAAACCGCATGTAAGCTTCCAATTCTTTTTTTTATTTTTATTTTTCTACTGTTACTTTGGCTCGCTAAATTTAATGGCCTCCACCACTTTCACCAAAACCGCTTTCAAATTTTATTTTATGAATTTTTAACTTTATTTTAGTACATATCAGTTTAATATTTTTTTTGTTACTCTATATACAGAAGTATGATAAGAATACCATAGACTGAACATGTGAGCAATGAGAAAATTTTAGAGAAAATGCAAACAAAAAGGACACTCATACTTAACATCAGAAAGAGACAGTTGTAACTTCTTGGTCACATAATGAGGAAAGGGGTCTTGGAGAATTTGACACTGACAAGACATATTGAAGGCAAGAGGAAGAAAAGAAAGCAATAACCTATCTGGAGAGCTTGTGGCAGTACAGGGATTAGGACGTATTTTAAAAAGACTAACTTTACTAAGAGCTACAAAGGACAGGAAATTGTGGAGAGCTATGATCGCCCACGTCCTGAAGGGATACAGCAAAGTAAAAAAAAAAGAAGTTTATATATAAACACACATGGACTAAGTTTAACATTATTCGTTCCCAGGAGACAAGGGGCACCCAACCACAACTATAATTTAATTTCCATAATGAATAAACAAAATTTATAAAAATACATAGGTAAAAAATGTGTATTCCTTAGTAATTATCATGTATTGTATATATTACAATAGATACTAAATGTAAATACAGAATGTTATAATTGAATTTTTTATTTACCTTTTTAATTTTGTGTCATAAAGCGCTTTTCGGATTTTATCTCAAGTGAAAATCGAAGAAAGAATAAATCTTAGAAAAGTGTTTGAAAATTAAAAGAAAAAAATTTGGGCTCGTCCGGGATTCGAACCCGGGACCTCTCGCACCCAAAGCGAGAATCATACCCCTAGACCAACGAGCCAATCAATACGCAGCGACGCATAGTTCTACTGAATATTAAGTAGGTAAGGCTTGTGCTGCAGCCTGTGGGACGGCTCAAGATGATCGCATTATTTTGTACCAAAAAAAAAAAAAAAAAAAAAGTTGTTAGAATAGTTGCCTTTTCTCAAGGGATAAAATAAGCGTCCAAATTCAAATAAGTGTTCTATTCAGATTATTTCTATTTAAGAAGAAATTTTATTTAAAAATAATAAGCGTACCGTACCAGATAAATACCGTCTCTGTAGAAGAACTGAACAAAAGACAAAGTTGGAATAAACAATCTAATAGTCTTTAATATTTTTGTTGTAAATTCTCAAGAACAAAAAATTTACTTTCAACATATGTTTGGGTTTTTAAAACCATAAACATTGTCGAGGAGAGAAGGTAGTTAAAATAACAGCGGTGTCAGCGGAAGGTTCAAGTTTGCCGAAGAAAATAATTTAATCACGCCGGAACTTGTATTTAGTATGCAGATCACTCAGTTATGTGCCATGCATGATACACGCTTAGGCGATCATGTATCTTCTGGTACATGACTGACGAGGCAGATTTTTCCCGCTGTAGGTTGCCATTTTCCTTCTGTGGTAGACTAGTTGCCACCCACGCTATAGAACCCGGTCTGTCCTGCTATTTACCCATAGCTGGGGAAGAAAAAGAGGAAGGAGAAGAGGAAAAAATCTGCCTCGTCAGTCATGTATCAAAAGATACATGATCGCCTAAGTGTGTATCACACATGGCACATAACTGGCTAGTATACAAGTTTACATCTCAAAATCTAAAACTTATTTCCTCAGCTTTTCGAGCTTTTATATCCATTTGCAATTTCTCCACGAGTCGATCATTTTATTTTTATATTATACCAAAAACAAAACATACTTTAAATTAAACATATGGAATTAATTATCTGCGTACTCCAAAACTTTATTATCACGTTCAAACACCAGTTCTCGTACGATCACGCAAGTTAAGCAACGTCGAGCTTGATCAGTACCTAGATGGGTGATTGCTTTGGAAGTCTCCACACGTTAGTACCTAGATAGGTGAACGCTTGGGAATACCAAGTGCAGTAAGGTTGGATGTGCGGGTGGTGTAATGGATACCAGTTCGAAATTGGAAATCAGGGACCCGAGTTCCAATTGCAGGTGGGTTTATTTATATTCACTTATGTGAAAATAACCTTGGGAAAGGTATAAATCCACCTCTTCCCCCACAGCTATAGGGCTTGTAATGGAATGTCCCACACTCCTCACTGACTATATCAGTAGCAATATATAGTGAGCACAGGATATACCTAAGGGCTTGCCTTGATTCATCTCCAGCTAAGCTAGTCGATCTCTCTGCCTTCGGGTAGACAGGAACCCAGACGAGGCTATGCCAAAAGGCAGAGTTTCATCTGGGGTGGTAGACACCTACCCGACCCCGTGTATACGGGGTCTAAGGATAATTTTACCCGGGCCTACGGGCTCGGATACCCCATCTTAAATCCGGCCTTGTGCCACATCTGACCAATGGGGCGGTTAGCAAATATCCTTACTTCGGCAATTAAAACAAAGATTCGTCTGCAGCTGTTCTCGTCGAACACTCTGCCTTCAGGCTGAGAGGAACCTAGACGAGGTTATGCCAGAGGGTAGAGTCTCGAGTGGGGTGGTAGACAGCTACCCGACCTCGTTTTTTTTATGGGGTCTACGGGGAATTTTTGCCTGAGCAAACGGGGTCGGTTTGGACCACGCATTTAAAACGGCCTTGTGTCACATCCTGCCTCGCGGGGAAATAAGGCAAATAACCTTGCTTCGGCAATTAGTTGGAGATTTGTCTCTAGCTGTGCTGGTCGAACTCTTTGCCTTCAGGAGAGAACCCAGACGAAGCTCTGCAGAAGATGGTAGATAGATATCCGATCCCGGGTCTACGGAGAATTTTTGCCCGAGCCTACTGGCTCGGTTTTGCTCCGCATTAAAAAACGGCGTTGTGCCACATCCTACCTTGCGGAAAGTAATGTAAATAATCTTGCTTTGAGAATTACTAGCCTGCAACCAGATTCCCTGTCTTTCAGTAGTGTATTCTGTTTTACAATAAAACTTTCTTTCATCTACGCGCGTGTTGCTGTTCCTTCACTCGAGTACCACCTTTGTCTGTTTGTAACCTCTTTAAGGATACAACAATAGGTTAATAAGTATTTATATCAGTAAATCATAATCACAAAAATAATTCTTACAATCTAAACATATCTTCTGACTTTAAATAACCTGTAAACGGTTGATAAGCCGTAATAAAACAAATCAATGAAAAAGAAATCCAGGCCATAACTGCGTATATCGTATCTTGTGTAAAATATGAGAAAATTTAAACGAAAATTTAAGTTAAAAACTAGGAGTTTGTATTATACACAAGTACACGTTTTCCGAAACTTTTACTCGGCTTAAAAAAGCTCTTACTTGAAACAGCAAGAGTTGCAAATGCAATTCAATCAGGACAGTAGATAATAAAACACAAAGTACGCAGGTGTTGATAACAATTGTTTACAAAAGGTATTTGACATGTCGGCAATATTTGTTCTTTGAGAATTAGCATAACTAGGCGTCTTTTATCTCAATGACAGGAAATTCGCCGAAATTGATTAAAATTTATTCAAGGGAATCAGTGGCGTGGTCAACTCGTTGGCCCCTACCAAAACCAGTGGCCAACAAATGGGATGGATCAAATACTACTTTTTTTTCAGAATTTCAAATAAAAATACTTTTCGCGATTATTGACGCGATATAATTGGAAATATAAATAGAAATACAAGAAATCTTATTCCAAAAATACAAAAAAATGTATAAATACTCCTTGAACCTTAACAAAAAATATAAATGCTTTTTAACACAAATACAAATCCTCTGAAAAAGTTTTTAAATACAATTCAAATACATTTTTATTTGATCCGCCATTATCAACGAGAATTCTGCATTGACAAAACTTGAATTAAATGATGTCAAGACTAGAGGAATCTTCATCAATTTGAATTCGTAAAGCGCGTATCACCATAAGATATTGTGAAGTTGAAAAGTTCGATTGGGGTGTTGAGGTTAACGAATGCACTGTCTTTTCTTTTTTGTATTAACATTCGGTTGTCTGTGATTTTACAACCGAATACTATTCCACCAAAATCACCTATCGTATGCTGCAACGCCTACTTTGCATTTTTCTACCGTGTCTTCGTTCGAGTCTATGAGGCTTTCAATATCCAAGAGGAACCCAAATTGCGTATGTAACTGACTCAACCTTGTAAATCGATATTTATTTTCTGTATTCAACCTTTCCAGTACTGCCTTCAAGATAACATCCATTACTTCTCTCACATTTAGAGGCTCATCTTTCATCTCTCCAGCCATTCCTTTTTACGACGCATCCTTCTTTGATGAGCAACTTCAATACCACATTCTAAGTATTTTTCCTTGCTCTCTACAATTGAATTTTTACAGAGAGAATCTCGTTCACTCATAACAGATTGTTGCAGACTTTGAATGTCAGTCCGAGTTTCATTGAGATCCATTCTAAAGTGCTGAAGTCTCTTCTGTACTTGGTCGATGGAAGTCGGGACGTCGTCCCAGAACGGCAACATAGTTAGAAAGCTGAAAGTTTTCATGTTGTGCAGCAAGCAGCTGGCGTCGCTTCTTGTGTCGACTGATACTGTAGTCTCACTTGCCATATCCCCCAACAATTTAGCTATGTCATCTGTTATGGGGTCCTCCCCTTTTTCATATGTGGACTCTACCAGTGTTACTTGGACGGCTGCCGTTAAATACCCAGAGTTAGACAGTCAGTGAGAGTAGTCGGAAAGAGAGAGAGAATATACGAACGGAGATAGTATGAAGTAACCTCTTGTAGAAGTCAGTTACAAGCACGTAGACTCTAAGGAAGTCCTATTTCAAGACTGTATATATCTATCTGTATTTGCTACTAACCGTGTTCCTGGATTTACTAACTAGTATTACCCTTTGTATGATTGTGTAAATACATTTTATATCTTATATTTAATTATTGCGTTTGTTCTTCATTGGAGACCGAATTCATCTCGGAATCCACAACATCATCCAACTTCGTTTTTACAACGTGAACACCATCGCGTATAGCCGAGAGAAATTTGACCAAGACATTTGACCGAACGGACATTTGGTTGACAGTACAAGTAAAAATATTAACAAGCAATACTTTAGGTAATTTAATTAACAGTATTATAATGTAGAATAGGACTAATAATTACCACTGAATTTGAAGTGATTAAATTACTAAATGTAAATTTAAAAACATCTTCGGCACATCGGCTCTCAATAATTTCCCGATCTTTTGTAACTTTGAAAGGACCGTCTTTATTCTGAAAAGGTTTAGCACCTATCTTCACCATTTGTACGCGTAGATTATTAGAAATTTCTGGTTTATCGCAATTTACATACAAATTTAAGCAACCTACATCTTTCTTGGTTAATACTGAATATTTAGTTTTATTACATTGTGCATGTTCATCAAATTGGCAATGAAACGAAGACGAAGGCTGATCGAAAGCATCCAATAAAATCGTTTGCTTTGCCTTCAGTGGTAGAGGAGGTGGTGCGAAAGGTGTTGTTGGTGTTGGCAGCACTGGTGAAAATGGCGATTGCTCCACTAACCCTGGTGCTGTGTCTGTGTAATCAGAGCCAGTGGCCAGAACAAGCGAAGAAACAACGTGATTGCTATCATCTCCATATGTACGTGGCAATTTTAGAAACTTCTTCATAACTTGATTGGATTTTTGTGCAGCTTCGCGTTTACCTTTCCTTCCTCTTCCTTCCGTGTCAAATTCTTTCTTCTTTTGTTGCCGATGTCGCTCCATTCTTAACATTTCTGCCTGAAATAAAAAGGAGGAAATAAAAGTAGAGTTGTCCCCTTCATTTATACAAAGATCGTGAGGCTAGTTTGTCTTATACGAATGTTTATTGTCAACCGAACGATGGCACTATGAAGCCTTAGCGTGATGACGCCATAACACCATGACATCGTAAATAACACCGTGACAACACCACTTTGAAGATTGAAATAAACCAGGGGTCAGCAACTGATTCGACCCCGCGGGCCGGATCGTGTTATAATGACGGGTCGCGGGCCGGACAAAGGCCATTAATGAAAAATTAAGGAAAATTACATTTGCAGACCCCTGTCAACCTAAATATTTAAAATCATAATGAAAATAAACATTGAGAAATCAGAAAAACAAAAGAAAATCTAAAATTAAAAAAACACCTAACAAAAATTACTTTCCCTCAAGGAACGTCAAAATACTTCAAAGTGAAAAAAAATCAACCAAAGTGAAATGGATGAAATTATGACGTGTAGGTTTGAAACTGTTATTGAAAATTGTTCCACAAACGAACCACACACACACACACACACACACACATCAAACAAAAACGAAGCACATATACCCATACATATGAGTACAAATAGTTGCAAACATATACACTTACGTACGTACACATGCGGTATCATCCACACATTCATGAGGCATGTACAATGCGCATATGTTTAACTGTCTTTAGATTTCTGCTACCTCGCATGTCAGTCCCTCCCTGGCCTCTTTCACTTTAGCGTTCCTTTCGCTTCTGTTATCTTTTAATGTAGCCAAGGGTCATAACAAATATGTATCCATTATTTGACATTAAACGTAGGCAACGCAACTTGGTAAAATAAGTATCATGAAACATAACTGGCAGATAGTCTAATTCGAACGCCTCGTCTCTCATGTTAAAAATAGAGTCATTGGTTATCAGACTCGCGGGCCGGTCAAAATGCGGGCCGCAGGTTGCCGACCCTTGAAATAAACCACAGTGTTCAATATCAGAATCTATCCTAACTTAACAGCATAATATATTATATAAGTTGCAACGAAGCACTTTCCCTATATTCTCGGCGGGAGTTAGAATAATAATAATAATAATAATAATGATGATGATGATGCAGCGAAGGCTACAAAAACACCCTGCAAAGCTTTCGCCGTCGCTGAC